GGGGGGGGGGGGAGTTTTCTTCAGATACTTAGAGTTTGGTCATAATTTTACCAGCATTCATTCATTAATTTGCTGATGCATTATTTTTTTCCAAGCTCTTGGCTTGTTATAGTGCATCAGTAGAATCACTGTAACTGCATGTTCTGTAAATTGATATATCTACTAGTTGAATATTAGTTATTTAGGTGTTATAAATTTTTCTTTAAATGTATATATATTATTAGTAAAACTTATTACACTTATGAACTGGTTGATTAAAAAATAATTTCAAGCATACTGTTAAATTAATACATTTCAAGCATGCTGTTAAATTAATACATTTCAAACATAAGGTATACGCTCAAGAATAGTCAACATTACAAGCAAGTTTTTTTAGCTGCTGGTTCTTGCTCTATTCATTTTTATATAGTGTTGCCACTATTACTGCTAAAAATACCATTTCATTAGCATTGTAAATTTCATGAGAAAATCATGTTTCCTGGGGGAAGTTATGTGGTATTAATGAGAAAAGTATGGAAGCTGTAACTTTGGGATGTTATGTAGAAAAGTGAGAAATACCAAAATTTTTATTAACTGGCATTATGATGCAATATATTGGCATTATGTAAATAATAAAGGCAATAAAAATTCAAAAGTCAACATTTTAAGAAATGAAAAATAGCGTTATTGTTTTTCCTTTATTGAAATTACATGAAAACTATTAATATTTTTAATTATTGTCTAAAATGAATAATTAAAGTGGTCATAATTATAGAGTTTCATCTAGAGTTCTATTAGGCCTTTAAAGTCAGTAAATGATTCGTAATTTTTAGTTATATAATGTGTCTAATACTTTCATGTACTATCACACAGAATCATCTATTTTAACAATTACATTTTATTAATTGTGTGCTTCTAATATTTACATGAATATTGTATTGTTAATGATAAATATATTTTGTGTGTTAGAAGGAATCGTTTACTATTGATAAATCCCTACATGATTAGCTATTCCATCTTTGTAGCTCAACTATAGGGATGAATTTACAATATAATTTGGTTATTTGCTCATGCTGCTGACATTAAAATATTTTTCATTAGTTTGCTTATTTGTAGAATTTAATACTTGCTTATGTAATACAAGATTATGTCAGAAAATATGGTTTTATATTATGGTCAATTAATAAATGGTGATTAAGTAGCTTTGCTTCATTAACAAACTCTTTATCCCTTTTTATTTCAGTCTGTTACTCATAATGAATACACCAGTCGATTGGAAACTTTAGGCATCAATGTCAAAGCAAAAAACTTCCTTGTATTTCAAGGTGCAGTAGAATCAATTGCCATGAAAAGTCCTAAAGAAAGAACTGCTTTGTTTGAAGAAATCTCACAGTCAGTTACATTTTTTATTTATTAACTTTTGAATATTTTTATTTTAACAAAAACTCTTGTCAAAGAAACTTAATCTTTTTTTTTCTTTTAAAACTAATTTTAATATATACTTTAAAAGTGTTATTGCAAAAGTGTAATTTAAAAGTGTTATTTGCCTTTCATTATTTTTTTTTCTTCACGAATTTAAAGTTGTAATGTTAAAGTGACCTTAAATACTTAATTATATTTTTTTGCTTTGTTAATTGGTTTTTTTTTTCTTTCTTTCGTTTTTGCTCACATGAAGCTCAATTGAACACAAAGATGAATATGAAAAATTAAAAGCTGAAATGATGAAAGCAGAAGAAGATACGCAATTCACTTATCAAAAGAAAAAAGGTATAGCTGCTGAAAAGAAAGAGGCTCGTTTGGAAAAAGAAGAGGCAGAGAAATATCAGCGTCTTAAAGAAGATTTGGTAATGATCATCATTTGCGTAATTTTAACATAATTTTTTTATCTAATATGCTCTGATTATATCAATTATGATATCATCAGTACTTTTTTTTATTGTTCCTTAAGTTTAAATGAATAAACAGAAAGTAAAAAATTCAATGCTTTGAGAAAATGTCTATGTCTTTATAGGTAAATATATGAAAACAAATATGCTTATAGGCATTTCAAAAAAAGATATATCTAGATATATTAATAGCTATATGTTACCTATGGATCCACGATTGAGAATTTATTTTATATTGGAATATTTCTATACAGCGCCGGTGTTAAGGTTCCTGTTAATTTTGATGTGCTGGTCAAAATCCCTGGGACTTCACTGCCACTAAATGTTCAATTTTTTTTTCTCAAAATAAAAAATGGGCTTTTTTTTCTGGTCCCATAAATATTCATGGGTAAATCTTTTTTAATAAGTATGTGTATATTACTGTCATAGCATGTATTAGCATTATAGAACAATAGGTTCAGTATTTCCTGTCAAAATAGTTAAAAACCAAAAGTGCCCATTGATTTATCTATATAGTGTAGTATAAGCATACAACTTATCAGCAAAAAGTTATATAGTTGTTGAAGTACATCATAGTATTTAGCTCAAAGAATCGAAAACTGAACCAACTACATTGTGTTCTGGTCCAATATTTTTTAATCTAAATATGCGGGACCGTGCTTAGAGTTTTAGTGGCTCTGGGGCGAAATATTGAGGCATTTTATCAGAGTTGATCAAAGTCATGTTTTATTAAAAAAACATCTATATTGCACATTAGATTTTTTTTAATTTCATTCATATTTTTTTAAAAATTCTTTTCCTGTTTAACAATCAAAACTCTAGCATGTATTAATAATGTTTCATATTTGTTTGCAACAATACTGCAATTAAAAATTTTAACACCATCGATAACAAAATGGTTAGTATAATTATTTAATTATGGCAAATTAATTACTGAATAAATGAAGTCAGTTACTCTTTTCTATCAAATTCAAAATTTTAATGAATTGTAAAGACAGAGTATCAATTTATCAGATGAAAAGTAATTAATTTAGATCTGAAATAAAAATTTTTCTTGGCAGAACAAGTCTTTATTCTTTAATTACAATAACTGCTTATTTTATAAGATTTTAAATTTCTTGTATTAAAATAAATATTTGTTAAATTAAATAAGTATAATTGAAATATATTTACTGATAGTGAAACAGTAAATTATTTTACATACTACAATGAGCAGATGCAATATGAAATGTATCATATTGTCCATTTAAGTTCTTAGACAAAAAATAAATAAATCTGTTTTTGTTTTTTAATTTATTAACTTATTCCTGGATATAAGAATAGAATGTTTATTATCAATGAGATTTGATATCAGTAATTTATTTTCTCAGCCTTAAGTATATACATGCAGTACTGTATAAATAATATTTTCTACATAAATTTATGATTTAAAAAATTCATTATGAATCATTTAAATTAGTGATTTTAAGTAAAATAGTTTCTAATTATGTCAACCCTGCTTTTTATTTTCCTTGATATTATCAGTGGCAGTTCTTAAGGTTTTACACTTCACACACACTCACAAATGGACAATATTTGAAATTTTTAATATAATTAATTTCTATGATATCAAAATTGAATTCTTATTATATTAAAAATTAAACGCATGATATAAAGAATCATTAACAGAAATGAAATTTGGCTGATTTGGAAACCTAAATTAAAATAATTCGTATGAATGATATATTCTGAGAATAAGGAAACATATGTAAGGAAATATTATTTTACTACATTTTCAAGCTTTTTGAGTTGCAAATTTGTCTATTAAAACAGAATAATCTATGGAAGTTGATAGATAATTTTCAATTGAAATGAGTACCAGTGATAAAAGGTGGGCGTTAATCATCATTGATCTCAAATATGTTTTTATCAGTGTCAATTTTGAAAATGAACATTCTGCAGTATTAATGGTTACAGGAACAGTATGAAAAATTCTTAAAGCAATCAAAAAATTTCACATAGCATCAGTAAAATTTTGTTTTACTACAGTATCACTGTCCTTCTTGAAACTAGAAACCTTGATTCATTGACAGTAACTAATTAGCAAGATGAGTGAAGATAATAATGACATTGTCTTCTTCACAACTCCCAGTGGAAAGATGTATTAACATGCTTACACATGCCACAATAACTGACTATAAGATAAAAAGAAACTTTTTCTACTGGGAAATAGGTAGAACTAGGAGAGTAATTTATGAAGAGTTTAAGAAATTTCTTAATGTGAGACGAAAGTGAAGGGAGAGAAAAAACAACAACATAAGTATATTAACAAGTTTTAAAATTTTAATGGCACTAGACGGTCACCCCGTTTGCCCACCTCTAACAATGGTCCTGCAAATATTATTTCTGACTTGTTGAAATTCGTTTAAAAATGGTAATTATTTTATATAATAAATTGACATATGTGATGTTCTTTAATTTACATTGCATACTAACATCCTTCTTTTTAATCTGTTATAGGCCTTTAAGCAAATTCATTATTATCTGTTTAAACTGTTCCACAATGAGCAAGATTTAGAAAATTTAACTGAGGAGCTTGCTGATAAAAATAAAGATCTTGAAAAAGCATGCAGAAAAAAGGAAAAGATTGAAGAGGAAATTAAAGAAAAGAAGAAAGAATTTGGGAAAATGCAAAGAGAATTTTCAAAAATAGAGCAGCAGATACGAGAAGCAGTATGAATTAATCCTTTTTTTTTTTTGTTGTTGTTGACTGTGTCTGCTAGCTTCTTTTCTGTTATTTTTTTGATATAAACTTATAATTAATTTTCTATTAGAATTGCATTTCTTTAATAATTAATTTTTTAAAATTTATTTGTAATTTTTTTAGGAAGTGGAGCTGAATAAAAAGAGACCTACTTATATAAAAGCAAAGGAAAGAACAACTCATATGCAGAAAAAACTGGAAACTGCTAAGTACTGCATTATATTTAAAATATTTTATAATAATTGAAAATTTATGAGACTTGCATCCTTTGAAAATTTAAGCTATTGTACAAAGTCCCATATCCAGATGTTCGTCTACAGGAAGGATCTATTTTTCCAGACACTTTTTAACAATCAAAATAAAACTCTTTTTCCCTTAAAATTTTTTTTTTTTTTTTTTTGATGGAATTTCACTCTGTNTTTTTTTTTTTTTTACACTTGTAACGTGTTAAAAAATATATGCAGGGAGGAGAATCCTTCACTTTTCCCAATTTTCCGCTTTCTTATTTTTATTCAACTTCTAATTTTTTTTCAAATTTAATCCAATTTCCTCTATAATGTGAAAAAAATTGGATATCACTGAAATGAAATCATTTTTTCCCCATGTCTCGCATATTAGAATTTCTACTGGCAAGTATCTCATACTCGATTTCAGAGTGAAAAAATTCACATTTTGAAAAATTTCTGATTTGAGATGGCATCATTACGACTAAAGAAATAGTATTTCATTAAAAATGAAATCAAAATTTTTAGACTATGTGGAGATCTCCAACTGTTTAAAATGTGATCAACAAAACCATGTGGGCAATAAAATCATCACAAATCAAGAGCTTCAAAATGCACAGTTCGTAATTTCCCATGTATGATAATGCAGCTTTAAAAAACTATGAAAATCCGTAGCAATAGCTGACAAAAATTCAATCGTAAATCTACATTTGATTTTGTTGAATCGTCAATATGAAATAATATATTAAACCACAGATTTTAAAAACCAAATGAGACTCCATTTTAATGAATACCAAAAAACGATCAACAAAACCATGCTGATTCATTGTGGTATCATCACTAATTGGATGGGTTGAGAAATGAGTACTAGCTGAGATGTGTGATTTGGCAGTATGTTATTATAGTAGCAGTTTTAGTCCTAATTCTTAGTCGATAGTGGTTAGTGGGATGTAGTTTCTTTGTAGAGTTAAAATATTATGGCTGTTTTAGATACATCTAAATTTGGATATGATGTAAGGATATTTATACCAGAAAAATTTATAAAATCATTTATGAAAATTTGATTTATTATGTAAAACTTAATTAAACATGGCCACATTCCAAAATTATAGAAATAAAGAAAAGAAGTCCCTGAAAAAGATCAAGAAAATCATTCTCCTTACATGAAGAATATTTGTTAAGATATCTATTCAATGGTTGGGACTGGGAGGCCGAAGCCTTCGAACCAATCGCCAATAATTCGAAATTAAAAGTAAATGAATTGTTCCCAACGGACAGTTAGGAGCATGGGAAGAGGTTTATGGTTGGTGATTTATTGAAAGATAATATAGTGAAAAATAAAGCCAACCCCCCATAATCATTATTAAATTTGAAAATAATTTGGTGAAAGCGAACTGCCACAAAGACTGAAAATTTATATAACCATGTAACTGAAGCTTTTTTGTGGTAAGCAATAAGGAATAAAGTGTTGTAAATAGATTTTATTTAGTAGCGACAGTGAATTAATAAGTCTTACATTAGCATTGAAATAAAAATTTAGCCATTACATTGATAGTTAAGAAAAGAATAAAATACTTTATATTCGCTTTTTTATGAAATGTAATAAAAATTAAATAATTGGTTCAATTTAATTAAAATTCAATTAAGAACGATTAAAAAAATTAATTATAAAAATTAAAGAAATTTTAATATCTAATAAATATGTTATGCGTAATGTGGCATCACAGTTATAATGGCATATTAAGATATTGTGATTTTATAAACCATGTTTGTAAAATCACATATCCAGAGTCCTATATCCAGAATAGTTTATAAAATCACATGTGGATTTATAGTTGCTGATTGAAATTGGCATTAATTACCATCTATTTGTTATTTTTTTATTGATTAATGACGTTTTGATGTTTGCCTTAAAGAACTATTATACGGAACCCATGTCCCAACTATTCTGGATATAGGACTATCAATTGTATTTTTAAAAAAATATCAGTTTTGTACCTGCCATTTTTATGTTGATTGATTTCTAAAAGATTAAAAAACTATTAAATTATTTGATCTACACAACCTATTTCCAGCACTGCCGAAAAATATAATTTTTTGAAAATATGTTAAAGTAAAATAATTTTTTTTTCCAATAGGAAATCTTTGAAAGCTGCCAAGAAAGTTCATGAGGCACACGAAGGCGAAATCAAAAATTTAGAAGATGAGCTGCAAGAAATTGAAAATAACCAAGAAGATTTTGAACAACAGCTTGCTGAAGAATCAAAAGTTGAAGGTCGAGACTTAACTCTTCAAGATTCACAAGTATGTTTGTTATGTTAATTAAACAAGTCAATTTAAGCTTGAGTATTACTCCCAAATGCTATATTTATAACATTGGCAGGTAGATATTTTAACCAACTCTGTTTGTAAAACTTTTCCGTTTAAACAATTTAAAATAATTTTTATTAATAAGAAACACATTATTAATAATAATTTTTTACTCCAGAAAAAGAATGCTAAATTGTTTTAGCTAAAATTGTTTGCAAAAAAAAAAATATATATATTCCTTTCATGCTTATCCATTTATGACCAAACTTAAATGAAAACAAAAGCTATGCTCGTAGCTACTTTATAGAAATGAATATAAAACCCAGATCTTACTGTTCTTTCAATTTGATTAATGTTATATATTTTGCTGCCAAAATGAGACATTTTGTAGTGATTTGGCACACTGGCTTGCAGTAGCCAGAACCCTTTATCACACTATTATTCTTGTCGGAATTTGCTTTTGAAAGATTTCCAAACTTATTTTCCATGAAGGCGTTAAATATTTGTTTTCTTAAATGAAACTAGAACAGCATTCAAGTTTTCAATATGTAAGATTATTATGTATATATGATTTTGAAAATTTACATGCAAAGATGTATGGTCTAATACTTTTATTAATTTACTAAACTTCAGCATTATGTATGATTTGCTTCCATTCATAATGTTGGGCTTTGTATTTTATTTTAAGCTAATTTTAATTAATTAGGAAAACTTCACATAAACGTCCAAAAAGGGTTATCATCTTAGCATAATATGTTTTTCATACTATGTTGATTGACTAGATCATTGGAATATTCATCATGATATATTTTTATTTAACTATTTATAACATTGCATCCATTCCAGTTTATCTTAAATGAGAAAAAAATATTGCCACTTACTACAACAGCTTTTTGTTTAAGTTTTTCCATGTTCATTTTAAACATTATTTACATTTTATTTTTTGCTCATTTTATTAGATTCTATCCTATTTAAATCCCTCTCATGTAAAAATCTCATCTCTTGCAAAAACGCAATTTCTTATAAATACAATTTATTATAGTGGCAGTTAATAACTAGTATAATTTGTTTTTCTTTCCACCTTTTTTTGCTTGAATATTTCTGCCCTGAAAACTTTTGCTTTGAATAATTAATGTTCAGTTTCCCTATTTTTTATTTGAATTTTTCTGATACTGCTGTTCTGTAGTTATGTGGTTAATTCATATTTTTTGGTAAGTTAAGTGAATGAATAACTGAATAAAGCAAAGAAGTTACCATTTGTTTGGTAGATTCTTAAATGAGTAAATCAGCTTAGTGTTAAGTGGTTGAATCAATTTGTAAATAAACAAAATGTTTATAAACTTTTATTTATTTACTTTAATGGCAGTTAATGCCCATATTTTTTATTTATTCATTAATTGGTAAACAACATGAAGAAGGAATGAATATTATTACTGAAGAAGCTGGCTTTTAAATTATGTATTCTCATAAATATTTAAATTAATTCATGCCTGTTGCTTTTATTTATTACTTTTAAACTTCCTGAAATGGAAATTTTTTTACTGTAGGTTGAAGAGTATAATCGACTAAAAGAAGAAGCTGGAAAACTTTCATCACGTTATCTGCAAGAACTAGACTCGGTAAATAGAGAACAGAAATCTGACCAAGATCGTTGTGATAATGAAATTCGTAAAAAAGCTGAAGTAGAGTCGAAAATAAAGCAAAAACGAGCAGAACTAGAGGAAAATGTTAGAAGACTTGAGAAGCTTACTGAATACATCAGGTCTGTTGATATTGATTTTCTCTGAATTAGCTTTAACTTTACTCATTTTGATATTTCTGCTTAAAACATGTTTCATGAACTTGATTTTAACATATAACACATTTAACTAGAAAAGAGACCTTCTAGATTTTCTAGAAAAGAGACCTTCTTATTCTTTATTTTGGTCAATTTATATCAATAAATTGCTTTATGCCCATTTAATGCATTTAGATTGATAAAAATCATATGCATTTCTCAAAATAACTTCCAGATACATTCCTGATAATATAAAAAAAACTTTTTTGTTATTTTGAGAAATTTTGTGCAGGTCCATAACTTGATTAATTGAAAATTAATCTAATTATGAAAAAAATTTCATGCATTCACTGAATTTTTAAACAGAGTAGGCTCCTTGGATCTTTAAAATAAATCATTCTCTAAAAGTTTGAATTTGTCGTATTTTTAAAATTTGGAACTAAAATTTTGTGGTCTAGGCTATGTGTAGTGTAGACGTAGACAGATCTCATAAATTATAAACAATTGCTTGAAAGTTTTTAAAAAATATTCTGAATACAGTGTGTTTTTTTATTTATTTTTTGGAAGAAGGGATCAAATTTTGCATAATTAGTTTTTTTTTTTTTTTTTTTTTTTTTTTTTTTTTTTTTTTTTTTTTTTTTTTTTGTAAATAGATTTTTAAAAAAAACACTTGGTCTAATGCAATCTGGTTCAACTATAACTACAAAAAGCTGTATATTTCTTTAAAGCAATAATTAAAAGTTTATTCATAAAGCTGTTTTTTTTTATTTATTAGTGTATTTTACCTTGATTAGCATAACCTTCTCTTCTGCAAAAATGAATTGTGGTGCTTTTAGATGCAATATCTTGATTTCCTGAGTTAATTACTAAAAAAGAATAATTTCAAGCAATGAACCTCTGTCATCTGAATTATTTAAGACTTAAGTATGTGAAAAACTGATGTAAGAATAACTGATGTAGATTCAGTTTAAATTACTACTTCAGATGATCCAGGTTATACTGTACTTCATAAAAGTAGTATTGAAATTATCCCTCTAATGTTAAATCCAAATGTTGGCAAAAAAAATGTTTCTTCATTTTAAACTGGTTAACTTGGATTTCAAATTTGGACAGCTAATTGTGAAGTCAAACTTCACTCTGCTGTATAAAATAGAGAGAAAATAATACATTCTTATGACAAGTTAGCTCTCAAACTAACTTCCTATTCATCAATAAGCAAGTTATTTTTAGAGCAAAATTTCTGATAAAAAATTTATATTAATACAGTACGGAACCGATTATCCGGAACGATCGGGACCATCGCTATTCCGGATAACTGATTTTTCCGGTTTTCTGAATCGCTACAAAAAGCCGTTTTTTTTAACGTTAAACCCAACTAAAAAAAAAATAAAAAATATTTGGAAATAATCATGTAAAAACGAAGTAATACACTAATGATTGTTTCCAAAATGATGGTAAGGTAAACATCTTTCAAAAAAGAAAGAAAAATCCTAAAATCTGANTTAAAAAACAGTGAGTGTTTAAATTTAGAAAACGTTGTGATAAAATAATGATGTGACAAAAAGTTTTTGGTTGTGTATATTATTAAAAAGAAATGTTTTTTAATTAATTTTTTAATAAAATGAAATTATTGTTTTAATTAGAACTAGTGAAACCGGTTTAACAGACTTGCGCAAGCAGGAAAAAGAGATTGGTGAAGAAGTCCAGGAAGCAAAAAAGAGAGTTGCTGAAATTAATGAAGATCTGGAGTCAATTATGAATGAACTTGGCGATGCAAAGGTAAATTATTATTTGCGTGTTATATTATTGCTAATGATGCTGTTTTTATGGAATACTGCTTATGGTATAATGCTACATCTGTAACATACAAGACAATAGAACTTTTAACAAAGTTCACCATATTTATAACTAATAATAAATTATTAGCAAAAAAGTTTCATGGCTAGATATTGACATTACATCAATTTACTTTAGAATCATAGTTTTAAATTGTGGCATTAATTTATGAATGCTAATTATTTATAGAACAATTTATAATTTATTTTTTTTAAGCCAAAAAAGAAAAAAATTTAGTGCATTCTGTGTTACTTTAATTATATTATTCCAAAAAAAAAAAAATTTAAACTATGGCTATTTTATTTAATCAAGTTTTTTTGCAAACCAGACACTTAAAGTGAGTCTCATTATTGCATTCGTTCTCAGTACTATATATTTTTAAATATTTTCAATGATTTTTGTGTTTTATGTAATCTTTTATTTATGTAATTTATTTTATTGTTTGAAAAATCACAATTTAAAAAGAAATTGTGTTGAAAATCTCTTAATTTATAACAAATCTGTTGTATCGTAATGAGTATAATATCTGAAAAATTAAAATGTTATTCTGATAATTTACATAAATGTTTTAGTTTTTCTTTTTTCCATTGTAAGTTAGACTTGATATTTATGTATATATTTTTTTTCCAGGTTGATAAGCATGAAGATTCAAGACGTCGTAAGAAAGCTGAAATAGTGGATCATTTTAAGAGACTTTTTCCTGGTGTTGTAAGTATTTTCTTTATGTATATATATAGAGAGAGAGAGAACATTTGGAATTAAGTAAATTATTTAGATATTCTCACCTGTTGAATGCATTGTTAAAATATTGGTATTTTTTTAAGGAAAAAATAATTCATTTTAAATAGTTGCTATTGAAAAAGATACATACCTGCCAACTTTTAATCCCTTCCATTATGATTTTTTCCAGTGGTATTAAAATGGAATGAAAATTTAAATTTTAAGCCAGAAAATATGTTGTATTTGAAAAAGCTTAAGCTGACAACCATGATCGCAATGCATATCAATATATATGCTTAATTTTTTTAAGTATAGTGGTGATCAAAATCATTTAAAAATTAATTTTATAAAAGAAAAAAAAAGCATATATTTACTACCACTTTAAATGTAAAAGTAAAATTTTACGCCAAATGCGTAAAAGTTGGCAGGTAAGAAGATAGGGAACTTAATATATTTCAGAATGACACCTCTTGAAATTTGAATTTGAGAAACATTAAATTAGGACTTAGGTCAATTATCAACTGTTTTTAAGGTATCTGGCTGGGTTTTTTTTTCATAATCTTAGATATGTTTTGAACTAAAAGCTAAGGTCTAAGTGTAAATTTCTTATTTTTATCTTGCTTCAAGTTAGAATGTTCAGAATTTTTCTGTAAAAAATCAGCATTAAACAATATATTTAGTTCTATTTCATTTTATATTTGTAATAATTTAGATTTCCAGTTATTTATTCTCATATAGTTGGAAGCAAGGTTCTTTAAATTAAATTAGATTAATTAAAATAAAATGATTTTTTGTTAAAAAATTGTAAAACATTTTTATAAAGAAATATATTAAATTTTTGTTTTTATAATTTTAAAATTAATTCCAAGTATATTGTATATTACTTTCAATTCTGAACATTATTTATATTGTCTAGATATCTGCCAGTTATCTATTATATTTCTGATATTTTGAAATGAAAAACTTTAGCTCAGCTAAAAGGTTTAAATTAAACAAATAATTGATTAAACAAAAAATTCTTAAGTTATATCCCTAAATGTTTTTTGTTTTGAACAATAACTTAGTTTTTCATTATTTTATTGGTGAGTTTTTTTCTTTTTTTTTTGACATCTTGTGTTTGGTATTATGTAAATAAACATGTAATTTCGTGTTTTTTCAGTATGACAGACTTGTTAATATGTGTCAGCCTATTCATAAGCGATACAATGTTGCAATCACGAAAGTCTTGGGTAAGAATATGGAAGCTATTGTTGTAGACACTGAGCGAACCGGTAGATCTTGTATTCAGTATTTGAAGGAACAGATGCTTGAAGCTGAAACTTTTTTACCACTTGATTACATTGATGCCAAGCCTCTGAAAGAAAGATTGAGGTATAAATAACTTTTCACTAAAAAAGTACCATTTTTAAGAGTTATTCTGATTATCTAAGAATTACAAGCTTGCTGCTTATTACATAACTTTTTAATTTATGCTGTGAAACTCGATATTAACTTCACTCTTATGATGTTTTTATATTTATTATTGTGCATCATTTGTTGTTTAGAGCAGCAAAAGCTTAAAACCCATTGACACACTGTCATGAAGTAGTAAAGGGAATGAAGTCGTTTATAGCCTTTTCACTATGCTCATATCGTTCCAAACAGGTTACTCATATCTTTTACATTTTAAAAATTATATCAACTCTTCCTTAAAACTGTGACCATTTGAATTGCAACAGATTATTCTGAAAGTATTAATGTTAGACTTGAAATCGTACAAACCTCAAGTCTGATAATTTGCATCTAGATATTTTTACTGGGGTAAATAAAACTGTGAAGATAATGGTGTGAGTTATTTTAGATATTTTGATATTTATATAATTTTTTTTTAATAACCATGCCAATTGAGGAATATATTCAAATATGTTGTTGCTAAGAACATATTTGAATAATTGTTCTAACAAAAATTTTTTTATTTTTTATAACTTGATTAAGTTCCTGTGTACCAGAATAGATTAATTCCCTGTTGATTCCTTTTTTTCTTAAAAAAAAGTTTCTAATGTTCTGAACAAAAGTGAAATTGTATATTTGATATGATTATCCTCTGAAAGAAAAAGAAATTACACCCAGATAGCAGTTCTTATCATTATATTAACTCTCTCACAGGACTGGGTTTTTGATGTCAAAAGCAAGCTTTCAACATGACGTAGGTAAAAACTGCATTTTTAATTATAAAAACCTTCAAAAACTTACCTTTTTTTCGTATGTTATGGTATAGGAGACAATAAATTTAGCATAATTTTCTTTTCTATTAAAAATTAACTTTGCTATTATGTACATAAATATTTATATAATTTTAACGTGCTATCAAATATAAATTATAATAATACTTTTGTAATATATACTTTTAAATAGGGATGTAACAAATAGTGATTTGGCCGAATATTAGGCCAAAAGAATCTGCTGAATGCCAAATATTCGGTGGCTGAATAGCACCCTTTTAAAAAAAATCATTAATAAATATTAGGTTTTATATATAACTTTAGTCATTATTGGAAAATAATCAAAACTCAGCTATATTATTTGTATAAAAAAAACACCTTAACAGAAATATTTAAGATAAAAGATAAATAAGAAAACTAACAGCTATTAAAAAGAGCTGAAGTCTTAAAATTGAAAAAAGAGAAATAGAAAAAAAATTATCTTAATTCTTAAGAAAAATTTTTAATGCTAAAAATATTTTCCAAAAGAAAATTGTCCATGAAACGTTAAAAAAGCTAATGTCTATCAGAAACACTTTTACGAAATGCAGCGCTATCATAAAAGTTATATGTCTTCCATACAAAAAAAAGTGACAATAAAAGAATGGAGTTTATTAGAAACACTCAGCTAAAATGCTTCGTTATAGTTAAAATGAAAACAATTGCAAAAATGAAACAAATAAAAAAAATTATCAATTTTTAAAACATAAAGTGTTAAAGAAACGGCAAACTTGACTTCCCTCAATATAATTAAAAGAATAATAAAATCAACATTACAAAACGCATGGTTCATTGCAAAGTAATCTGAGAGTCAATTCTTCAAATTTCGCTTTTTCATTTGTCTTTCAAAACTTAAATTAACAAGTTTTAGAACTTAACAAATATGTGTTAAAATTATTTCTAATAACATATGGTTAAAAAAGAAGAAAAAGATTTCAGATTATTCTTCATTAAGTCTATTAAAATTTACCCCCAAGAAAACTTTGTCGAAAAATATTTTTCTTAATAATATGCTGAATAGTGGACAAATGTTTATTACATCCCTCCTTTTAGTCTTGATTTGTGATGAAACTCAAAATTTTACGCTTATAAAATACTGTAATACTTTTACTTTTGGTTTACAACTGTTACTTTTGTTTGTTTTTTTAAAAAATACTTTTGTTTGCAGATACTTTTGGTTTACAACTTAGCAGATAAGTTTTTTTTTCATCGAGTTAGATCCATGACTGTTTAAAATTCAATAATATAAATTCAACATATATATATGCAATAAAGTTTTATCTTAATATTCTTTAAACTCACAGGAACATTCACCAACCTAAAAATGTAAAATTGCTGTATGATGTACTACAGTATGATCCTCCTGCAATCAAGAGAGCCGTGTTATATGCTACTAATAATGCATTGGTGTGTGAAACAGCTGAAGATGCTAACAGAGTTGCTTATGAACTTGGAGATAACAAAAGATATGATGTAAGTGCTTAAGTATATCTCTTTCCTTTCCTCATTGTTTTTAAATTATTTGAAATATTAGTATTTATTAATTTATCATTTACATTTAATTTATGTAGGCTGTTGCTCTTGATGGAACATATTATCAAAAGAATGGTTTTATATCTGGAGGAAGCACGTAAGTAGTTAAAAATGTCTTCCATTTTTATATCACAATATGATCCAAGTCGGAGTGCATTGGGGGATTTCCCTCAAATTCTGTTGGGGTTTTTTTTTCGTATCAACCTTCTGGGTCTGAAAACTAGGAGCAGGGGGCATGTGATTTTTCCTCAAAAATTGAGAAATTCCTCATATCTCAAGACCATTGGTTTGCAGACATCCTTTAATCAAAAACTTAAAGCCCGTCAAAATTACAGAGTTCTGCAATCCTAATGAAACGTTTGCATACATGTAATTCTTTTGTCAATTGGCGGAAATCCTCCAATTTTATTCTTTTGATTTAGCTTTTTTTCAATTTTGAATATTTGGAATCCGCTAATATCATGATTCTTATTCATGGGTTTTATTATAAAACATGGATTTTCATATTTACCTGATTTAAAAGTTAACTGAATGAATGGTTACATCAATTTACGTAATTATTTAAAATTACACAAGCGATTTGTACTCGTGCGATTTAGAAATTAAATATCGAGATTTTTATTTTCGCTTTTTTGAAATCCAATATCCTTATTCACATGATTTTAAAATACAATATAGCGAGGCAGATTCATGTGCTTTTAAAATCTAATACAGTACGACCTCGAAAATCCGGACTTCTGAAATCCGGAAATCTCTAAAATACTCATACGTCCAGTTCCTCAGAAAAAAATTTCAAAAGAAAAAATTTTAAAAAAATCGCTTATAATAAAAATTTTAATGCAAAACCACAACTCTTCTCCAACAATGAAGCAGTAGATGAAGAGGTAGAGGTGGGGTGTGAATGAAAGCTCATAGCTGATAAGGAAATTCCAGTCATTCTTATCAGCTCTGTATGGATAACAAAGAATATAAAAGGGAATCCCCCTCCTCCTGAAGGAGAATCCCCTCAGAAGGAGGAATTCTTCCATCTCTTTGTTTTTCCCCCTTGTGATGAAAGAAAACTGGTTCTTTCTTAACCTTGAAGCTTAGGAGGCGGGCACAAGTTCTTTCATCCCCCAACAAAAAAAGGATTAGTATCAGCTGGTACAGTCTAGTCTAGAAGCATCTGTTTCGGTTATAAGTTGAAATTCAGCTCGTGTTTTAAGCCTATATTTTTTTGTTTTAATTGCTAATATTATGTTATCAAAACGATCGATTGCGGGGGGGGGGGGATAACGAAAGTTTGATTTTTAATGTCTTTTATTTATTATTTAAAGAGTATATTTATGTTAAAATTGACGTCGGGGTCTACACACGCTTGATTAATCTCGAAATCGGCCTGGCGAATTCGAAACTTCAATAATTCTATCAATTCAAGTAAGGTATCTAAAATCCGGAAATTTCGGAAATCCGGACCTTCCAAACCCCCCAGCAGTCCGGATTTTCGAGGTTGCACTGTATTACGATTCTTTTAAAAACTTTGATTTTTCCTACATTAGTTACTATAAATATTCTTCCTTAGAAAGGAATTCATCATCGATAGTAATTCAATTATGAATCTTAGTTCAAAAAATTATGCATCAGCTTTTTACACATAAAATTTTCTCAGTTTTTCTTTTTGTGTACCAATCTCCCCCATATCCTCTTTCTTTTAACATATTTTATGGTTAAGAAAACAATGACTTTGAATTAATTTTACCAGTTGCTTAACTCACTGAGAGTAGTGAAATCCCTGCCTCTCTTTGCACTTCGTTTAGTAAATGTGACCTTTATGTTATTTATAAGAAATGTTTTAATGGATAAAAATTTATAATATAAATAATTAATTATTTTCATTGAAAGGTATTATTAATTACTTTTTTTAATTCTATCTAGTGTTTATGAATTTAAAATCTGTTTTGTGTTATTTAGTACATTTTTAAGGGTAAATTTCTGTGCATCGATTTTCTATAAAACATGCTAATATTTAACGACTTCATTTAATACATATCCTGCTGTTCTGGAATTGTAGCTGGAGGAATTTGTTTATTCTTTTTATTAATTTATTTATTCATGTTGTAAAAGAACTAAATTGTGTTTAAATTGAAATATTTTGACAAAAATAAGAAAATATATTATTCCAAGTTATTTCTCTCCTTTTTTTTTCATATTTTATGTCTTTCATCAATTGCATTTTTATATTTTGAATAGTGATTTAGCAAAGCGTGCTCGTCGTTGGGACGAAAAGGCTGTTCATACTTTGAAGTTCAGAAAAGAAAAGCTTACGGAAGAATTGAAAGAAATGATGAAGAAAACAAGAAAAGAGTCTGATTTAACTACTATCCAATCTCAAATTCGTGGCTTGGAAACACGTTTAAAATATTCTGTGACTGATAAAGAAAATACAGTAAGTATGAGTTTTTTCTGTGGAATTTATGTGTATAAATTTTCCTATAAGTTCTGATTAATGAGTGTGTTAAGACATCTGAACGTTTCAATTTTGTCTAAACATGTACCTTTATTTCACTGTGTTGAGAAAAACATGCTTTAGTTTTTAAGTATGTTTTATAAATTCTTAATGTGTAAAATTTTTATTTCTACTACAAAAAAACCTTTTAAGTATATTTTAATTTATCGATAGATTTAATTTGAGCAAGTTTGTTTTAGAGAAGTTTAAATTTGTATTAGTTTTTCTTTTGCTAACATGTTAGTTTATGATTTCTTTATTTTTTATTTGTACTTCAAAAACAAAACCTTTTAAGTATATTCTAATTTATAAATAGATTTAATTTGAACAGGCTTGTTTTAAGGAAGTTTAAATTTGCTGTAGTTTTTTTTTTTCCGCTAGCATGTTAGTTTATAATTTATATGAATTCTGGTTTCATTTAAAATAATACATATACTATTTATTAATTTTAAATTCAAATATTAATTTATTTTAAACAAAATTAGTTTTTTGAATTTCCACGTAATTCAATACATATTATTGACTGATAATAAACAAATTATTGACTGATCACAATATTTTGTTTGGTAACTTTTTCTAATTATCGTAATAAAATCTAGAAATAATTTATTATTTTTTCATAAGCTAGAAGATAGAGAAGCTCCAAGTCCATATTATATTAACACAAGATTATAGAGTGTTTGTAAAAAATTTCATCACAAAGCTTTCACCTCCTACAAATTAAATACTAAACTAAAGGTTATTTCACTATTGATGAAATAAAACAAATTTTTTTTCTTTAAACTAAGAATGACATTTTCGCCATTTCTTTTTTCTTTTGTTTTGCTAGAGATTTTTTGGACTTCATTTGTTATTTTATTTACTGAATAAAAAAATAAAATGATATAATTTGATTGTAGATTTTGAGCTTAATTGTTTTTGTAATTTATTTTAAAAGCAAAATTTCTCATAATGTAATGGGTTGTAAGACCTTATTAAANTCTACCACTGATTATATTTTAAATCAGCAATGTGGTCAGCGTAAACCGGAGGCGGAATTCAAATCGACAAGTCATCGTTGGGATTCGAACCCGGTTTACCTCATTGGGTGGTGAATGCTCTTTCCCCTTAGCCCTCGCGTCTGTAAAAGGTATGCCAAGGAATGCAGAGGAAAAACCACGAAACACTTCCACGATTTCAAGGCGACTCTAACCAATGATCCGTCTACCACTGAGGATACTTTACATCGGCACTGGGGTCTCCCTGGCCGAACGGTATCGCCCACCAAACGCTTTGCAAAAGGTGAAGGTAGCGGGTTCGAAGCCCTTCTATTTGACAAAGGTTTATGAGCCTAAATTGAGCACACAAGCTTGCAAATGAATGCAAATCCAATAAAACCGATACATCATCACTGTGGTCAGTACAAGCCGGATGTGGAATTCAAAGCGACCAGCCATCGCTGGGATTCGAACCCAGTTCACTTCATTGGAGAGCGAATGCTCTATCCCAACAGCTATCACGGCTTTTGAAATGACGATATCATTTTAATTTTATTTTATATCGGTCGTTGAACAGCTGACCAAAATTTTTGGGTTTACGACAACTAATGTTTAACTCCGTAGCCTTGTAATTTTGAACCAATCCAGAAGACGATATGTTATGGGAACATGGAGGACTTTGTGACTCGACAAATGTAACGTACATCAGTCACTATTTATTACGCGGGAAGTCTTCAGTCGGCGAGGATAGAACCCATGACCTCTTGGTCATGGGCCTAGAGCCCAAGCTGGCTATCCCGGCTCATTTGAAATGACAACTGCGATTGAGATCTATCTGGTCAAGCGGTTTCTGCGTTCCGCCATACGGTTATAAAGTCTAAAAATATAAGAAAGATAATTGGTTTGCAAAAGCATGAATAAAAGTAAAAATATTAAAAACTAACAGGCTGGCAAAAGCATAAATAAAATAAACACATAAAAAGATAAATTTAAATAATAAAAGCAGACGATAAAATTAAGTTGTTGATTGTTTAGAATGAGTTTTGTGTGGAATTTGAGTTTTCCTATATCCCGTTACGGGCACTTCATCTAGTTTTATAATATTTTATCTATCCCGTTCCCGTTACTATCCTTATATCCCGCTACGGGTTTTTCTTGCTGTTTTATGATCTTTTCACTATCCCGTTATGGGTAATTCATATTTGTTACTGTTTGTAAATAAAAGTTTTTTATAAGAAAACTGAACAGTTCTTTGATATAGCTTGATACGCTACAGTACTACAAAAAAACTTTTTAAGTCTATTTCAATAGATTTAATTTAATTTTAATAGATAGATTTAATTTTTTTAGTTTGTTTTAGAGAAGTTTAAATTTGTAATAGTTTTTCTTTTGCTAACATGTTAGTTTATGATTTATTTATTTTTTATTTGTACTTCAAAAAAAAAAAAAATCTTTCAGTATATTCTAATTTATAGATAGATTTAATTTGAACAGGCTTGTTTTAGGGAAGTTTAAATTTGCTATAGTTTTTTTNGTTTTTTTTTTTTTTTTTTTGCTAACATGTTAGTTTATAATTTATATAAATTCTGGTGTTTCGTTTAAAAGAATATACTATTTATTAATTTTAAATTCAAATATTAATTTATTTTAAACAAAGAAAATTAGTTTTTTGAATTTCCACTTACTTTATTTACAAACAAATTATTGACTGATCGCAATTTTTTGTTTGGTTACTTTTTCTAACTTTCCTAATAAAATCTAGAAATAATTTATTATTTTTCATAAGCTAGAAGATCGAGAAGCTCAAAGTCCATATTACATTAACACAAGATTATATAATGTTTATAAAATATTTCATTCCAAAGCTTTCGCCTCCTAAAGATTAAATACTAAACTAAGGGTTATTTTACTATTGGAGAAATAAAACACATTTTTCGTTCTTTAAACTGTGAATGACATTTTCGTCATTTCTTTTTTCTTTTATTTTGCTAGAAATCACTTGGACTTCATTTGTTATTTTAGTTACTGAATAAAAAAACAAAATGATATAATCTGATTGTAGATTTTAGGTTAAATTATTTTTGTAATTTATTTTAAAAGCAAAATTTCTCATAATATAATGGGTTGCAAAACCTTATTAAACTGTAAAAACGCCTTACAAACCCTCTTAAATGGGCTTGAAGTAAAAAAGGATTAGTAAAAAACAATACATTTAATTTGAGAACTTTTTCGTTTTGAATATTTGCAAAAACATAAATTTACCCTTATGCTTCTATTTCTATTTTATTACTTTTAGGAAACTTTCATATATTTTGTGTATGTAACTTAATGTTAGCGATAAAATAATGAGTTGTTTGTTTTTAGGAAAAAAGAGTTATTGCTGGCCTAGAAAGAGAAATATCAGCGTTAGAAAGAGAACTCGATACCTTTGAGGTAAAATTTGTGTGTTTTTTTTTTCCAGTTTATTGTTTTTTTATTGTAGAACTTTCCTAAATTTTTTATTCTAGTTTTTCCATTTGTGTTAAAACTAATGATCTTATTTTTAAAGCCCAAAATTTCTGACCTTGAGGAAAGAATGAAAGACCGAGAAAGCAGAATAAGTGACGTCAAGGAGTCAATGAATACTGTGGAAGACAGAGTTTTTGCTGACTTTTGCCGTTCAATAGGAGTTGAAAATATCAGGTTATCATTACGTTGTTAACTATTCAAATGTAATTTAATTTGAGTATATTTTTTATTTAAGAATAATTTAGTTGTATTTAAATTTTTTATTTAATTAGTGTAATATTTAAAGTGTTCTCTTTTAAAGATGCATGAAAATAAGTTACTTATTCGACTCTATATGTATGTATAATCCTGCCTTTATTTTCTTTAAATTAATGTCTTGCAATATTTAATCAAATTTTTCATTCAGCTCCAGAATAATTTTTCATGTCGAAAAGAAATGCTTCTATGAAAAGTTTTAAAATTTTCTTAAATAAAATCAGTACTCAGTTTAACATGACATTCAATAAACCATTTATTTTAAATAGTACTTGTTTCAAACTTGATATCAAAGAAAAAGACTTTTTCATTTTATGTAAAATGATATGACAAATAATTATTGATAAAAGTTGGGAAAAATTTTGAGAAAATTTGCCCCTTTCTCATTAAGGCTGAATGTAAGTACTGTATAATAAATATAAAAAGTTAATACATTTTAATTGGAATTTTTAATATTTTATTATTTATTAATGAAAGAGTATTTTATTTAATGAAATTAATCCTAAATCAATTTGGCCACTTTAGACAATATGAGGAAAGAGAACTTCGAGCCACACAAGAAAGAGATAAGAAACGTTTAGAATTTGAAAATCAGAAGAACAGAATAATCAACAGGCTTGAATATGAGAGATCAAAAGATACTCATGGTAAGTATTATAATTAAAAACATAGATGTCATTACCATTATTAAAAATTTTGAATTTGAAATTAAATTGGGAATTCCTTTAGAAAATGTGAAAAAATGGACAAAGACTGTTGAAGATGATGAAAAAGAACTCGAAAAACTGAAAAAGGCTGAGGCAACTCAAATGCAAGTAAGTTAATTTAGTTTTTCTCTAGTTAAAATCATGCTTAAATTATCTTAATTAATTTGCTTTAAATCTTTTTTATATATTTAATATTGTTCAACTTTTTTAAAAAAAGCAAAAACATTTGTGATGTTAAAAAATGTTTTTTACACATATTTTGAATGAAATAAGTAACATGCAATATACGATAGTGAATTACTTCCATAGTTGCTAAATATGCAGTTAACAGGTTATATATGTTTTTTATGTTTATACAAGAAGTTCCATAAACAAATTGATTTAATTTTTTTTTTTTTTTTTTAAATTCATTTTTACTTATTTAAAATATTGTTACTAAGTTCCTCAGCGGATGAAGCAGATACAAGAAAAACTAAGCAGCTTTTTCTAATGTTTGTCAATTTCTTCAAATGCAAAATTTTCTCTGCTGTATTTGTTAATTTTGTCAGGCTCATCGCAATGTTGGTAAAAAATAGTGGTTATTTTGAAAAGGAAAAAAAAAATTAGATTTTCTCAATTGGCAACACTATCTGTTGTCAATTTCTGTAATTAATTTTTTAATTTTGAGTAAGAATAAATATGCTGTGTACCTTAACAAAATGCTGCTAACTGCACTATTCTTTCACCCTTTTTCTTTTGTTGATTTTTTAAAGTTCTCGTAATTTTTCTGATGCATATTGTCATATAAACCAGACGTGGAACACCTTTTTACCACAAAAGGCAACATTTAAAATAGACTGTGATAAAGAAGGTCCCTAAAGTTGATACACTTATAAATGGGACTTTTCTGAAATAATTATAGTTTTTGTTTAGTTTTATCGCTTTATTGAATTTAGAAGTAATGCCAAAAGAGAAGAAAAAACATTAAGTTTATTCTTAAAATAAAAATTTACAATATAAAATATTTTTTTATTGTCGTAAGGCGAATAACTTATAAAATTAATAATTTATAATAAACAACTACATATATTTAAATACTGTTATAAATCAAAATAATGATGTAGAAATATTTTTCACTAGAATCTTCTTGTCGAGATTCACCTTTTAAATTGAAATATTTATCTTTATGAGTCAAAAAGTGTTTATTTGCACTCACTTTTTTCTATAATAAACACACTATTTTTGTCTTTCAAGGAGGTAAAAAAATTATCCTACTTCCACTCTACATTAAATGTTTTGCTTTCTTCATATAATTTTCTACTTGTGCATTCTTCGTTTTGACTAGATTTTGGCAGTGGTCGATAACAATGTAGATTATAGTGTTTCAAGCACGCACAAATAATAACTCCTCAGCATACATGGGAATGTTGAAGGTTGTGAGGCAGAGGGGAAAAAGTAGGTATTGTCAGTCTCTAGTAGATAGTAGTCACTCTGCGACAAGGTTAATGTATTTCAAGTAGGGTTAAGTCATTACCATAAAAAAGAATAAAACAGAAAATTTCTACTGTTGGACATTGAATGGAAATAATTTCAGACAGTGTAAGATTGCTATAACTGCAATACTACAGCATTTTAATTGATGTTATGCGTAATAGGTGGCAGCACATAATTTAATTCTATTAAGTTCCAAATCATTGTAATATATATAATAAATAATAATGAATACAAGAGTTAGAGGCCGCACTAGAAACTTACAGAAACTGCATGCAACCTCAAAACCACTCCCCACCTCTTATATAGATCATATGTTTTCAGCATTTTTCGAATCTCCTCACAAATCATAAAAATATTCTGTGGACCAAATTGTATTGGTTGCTAAATTCATATAATTATTAAAAGGATGTTTTTTTTTCCTTCCTGTTTTCCCTATGTTCCACCCGTAAAAGTGTAAATTTTATTTTAGTTTTGTAAAAAAATTTAATTAGATTTTGTATATTTTCCTTTTTTATACTATATTTATTACTAAAATATCTATATGTTCTTACCTCATTGCATTTTTTGTTTAAATCATTGTCAGTATTCTAAAGCTAATTGACTTTATTTCAATCATGTTTGTATTTTTAGTTGATAGATGATGACATGCAGAACCTAGAAAAACTCAAAAATACTAAAATTTGTAAAAAGCAAGATGTTGATAAGCTTGAGGAGTCTACTAATGAAATCAGAAAAAAGTTAACTTCTGCACAAAAAGATATTACTGCCGTTCAGAAACAAGTCACATCTCTTGAAACAAAACTGGAGCAAAAGAAGGCTGATCGTCACAGTTTATTCCAAACTTGCAAGGTATTAAAGTGTCTGTTTCGTACTATTGAATTTAAAGAATCATTTACTTTAAAGTATTTTGTATATAAAATTGCAATTTCCATGCATTTTAGCATCTGAAAATGTAAGAAAATTTCTCAAACTAATATAATTTTTGAGTTATTAACAACAACAAAAATATTAATAACCTTTACTACACGTTACACAAATATTTAATAAAAAGCTTGTTTAAAGTTATTAAATTCTACTTTTCCTCAAAACTCTGTCAACAGTTTTAAAATTATTAAAAAGAGTAAAGTACCTAGTTATCCAGAATGCTTGGGGCTATTTCAATCCTGGAAGTTTAAATTTCCTGGTTTTTTAGATAGCTAAAAAATTGCTTCCAACACAGCTCAACTATAATCCTATTTTAATATTGCATTAATGAAAAAATAGCTTTGTTTTTGACGTTTTAGTATTCCAATTAAAATTTTGTTTTTTCATTTTACTCTATTATATTTATATGGTAAAGCATAGCTATGATTTTTACTTATAATTTCCGTGCAGCCTTCTATTCACTGATACGCATATACAAAGTATTTCCTTCATGGAGAAGTGAAAAAGGAAAGCATTTGTTTCATCTGGTTTTGTTTTTAGTTAACAAGGTGCTGATTTCATTTTTGAGAATAAAAATTTTTAAAAAATTGTCACAATTTCTCCATCCTACCCTACGATTACTTCATTCCATTTGAATTTCAAGGATCAAGTTCTACCAGGCGGAAAGTATTATTTTTTGACATTCAGTTGTCAAGCTCAGCGCATCTTGTTTAATTATTGGTTTAGCTCAAAAACGTGTATTCGGGAGTTCACCTTCTTTTAAAAACAATTTAAATACTTAATATAAATATAAATTAAAACACTTTTAAATTAATTTTATCTAGCTCTGCTGCTCTTTTGCATTTGATTCATGGCACAGAAACCATTGATTTTTTCTGGTAGACATTAGAAAATAAAGAATTTGTCTCTTTCCCACCTGCTCCCCACCTAAGGATTTTTAAGGTTAAGACAAAATTATCTTTCCATGGGGAGAAAAAGACCCTAACCCCACCCATCTTTCCATATACTCAGCTTCTGGTGACCCAATTGTTCAAATTCATAATTGTGGGAAAGTAAACAAAATTTTCCCTAATTTTCTGGTTGATTTACAGGACTGTCCACAAAATATGCAAAAGTGATTGGTGGAAGTATTTTGTTTATTATACCCAAATAATTGTTCAAAAATTTTTTGGAATTCTGAATAATAGCAAAAAGAAGAAACTGAAACGTAATTTGATTTTCCTGTCATAAATGTTTATAAGGTTCAATTTGGGGTCATTTATGTACTTATTCAGGGTGGCAACCCACCTGGAATTATCTGAGAATTTTTTTATACTGGAGAAATCAGGGAAATTTAAAAACCTGGAAAAATCGGCATTTTAAAGAAAAGCTGGAAATTTTTTCTTAGGTATTTTTTTTCAATTTCACTAATTTAAATTACAGTGGAGCATAGTTTATACGACACCGAAGGGACCACCGAGAAACATCTTATAAACGATAAGGTTGTATAATCTATTTTTACTTCTAAAACTGGAAATAACTCTGTTTTCAGTTCATTTTAATGTTTAACGGGTTGATTTACATAAATTTCTAAATTAGGCAAAGCAAAACAAATAAATAACTAAAGAAAAAAAGAAGAACAATTAGTGAGCAATTTGAATGTATGTTACCTTTATTTATGTATTTTTTTCTTTTTTATACTCCAATTTTTCTTCTCCACTTTAATCATTTCACTTTGAATTTATAGAAAAAATTATCTACGATTGTTTGACGTGATGATTGACGTTGAGCTGTAATTAATGACTTGTGCAATGAATCAAGTTATTGAAAAGTTTTTTCCCGGTAATGTGGTAAAGATAATAAGTTGTTAGCGTTTCAATGTAATTCATTGCATCTTGAAGAAATGGCGGAACAACTTCTTGGCATTCCTCGTCAATCTAGCTGTCACTATGTGGCTCAGATTGTGTGTTCTGAATAAGCTCAACAACAGTGCAAATCGCTGACGCTATTACATTATCATCGCAATCCATGTATTTATCAAAAGTTGTCTCTGTTGCGAGCAGATCCCAATCATCATCATTGATTATTGTATCATCATCGCTTACGTCATCATCCCCCATTATCATCAGATGCTCGATGGGCGAATCCAGCTGTTATAAAACAGTTCTTTATTGTTGTCTTTGTTACCTGAAATCATGAAAACGAAATCATATTCATTGCTTGGAGAACACTTATTTTCTTGGTATTAGGCTCTGCAATGCTTCGAATTTGCGAGTTGAACTAACTGCTTTTTATACTGCAATTTTAAATTCCTAATCACAGACCAATATAATGACTGAAGCACACTTGTGTACTTTTCAGGTACTAAATGTTATCATGTGCTAAATTTACACATGCCCTTTTCTGCGTCATTCATGTTGGCAAATTCAGCCCGTTCTTAAAATATACAAGAAAAAATTAAAGAACCATGAAAAAAATCTAAAAACCGACGTATAACCGATTCTGTGAGTTGTATAAACGATATATTTTTACATTAAAATGAATAGGAATGATTTGGGACCACACTAAAACGTCGTATAAGCGATCATTGTATTATGCTCATTAGTGATCATTGTATTATGCTCCACATCCATTATACCCACATTTTTTAGATGGAAATGTATCTCCAAACAGTTAAAATGTTCATCAACTTAGCTATACTTTGCTTGCATCAAAATTTGCTCCATTATAACCCTGTTTAACTAGAATGCCACATAAAATTCTCCCATGGTTGCTAAATAAATGTAGAAATCTTTGATCTCTATGGAGACTATGGGACTGAGCAATTTAGGAAAGGCAAAGATTGTGCTGGACGTGGAAGAAAGGATTAGGATATTTACTTCTGTTTTAAAATCCTGTCCGTGGGCTGAATCCATTGATGGCTCAACTTTGTTCCTATGCTTTGGTGGAAATTTTTTTCTATTTTGACAAAATGAGTCAATGTTTTTGCATTTTTAACTTAATAAAAATTCTCCAAAAATTTGTTGGTTATAATGTAATAATAGATTTTATCTTGCACTCTTTTTCTGAAAGCTTTTGTACTCCCCTTCAAAGAAATCTGTAAATGATTTTTTCTCAGCAAAACAACCAATCACACCAAATTTTTTTACAATAGCTAATGAAATGTTAGTCGACAAATTATTACATTAATGCAAATTTTTTCTATTTCATTTTAGTCTTTTATAACATATTTTAATTTCAAAAAAAGGTTTTCTTAGAACTAACTATATATTAATATTTAATTTTACTGTTTTGTTGGTAAATATTTGATTTTCAATTCAAAATTCGAATTGTATAGTTATCAAAATATCAAAAGTTCATAAATGTTGCTTGCATTCCAGAGATGATATTTCCAAAACTATCCCTCCTCTTACCTGACAAAGACTAAGGAATATATAGGAAACATATTAAATGATGTATAAACATAAAATATAATTTTTTTTATTCATATGTGTTTGGTCGGAAGAAGGAAAACGAAGCTTAGCGTTTTAGTTGTGCGCTGTACACGATTCTAGTTGTTAAAACAAAAACAATTAACTATGCTAAACTAAAAAACTGTATGTTTAGATTGGAATTCTTTAAATGTTTTATTTCAAATAAAATAAAAAAGTATAAAATTTAAGGAATTTTATCTATTTTTTTTTATCTATAGAGTATAGAACAAAAAAATTAGACAATTTTACATTTGTGACATTTATTTTTGTATACTGATTCTCTTAAAATAATAATGCTAATTCAAAATAACATTATTTAAAAATTTGACTTGAGATATTGCCCTAAAGAAAATATGATCAATGAATTTTATAAAAAGTACTAGTACGATAAAATACAGTATACAGTATAGCTTTCTATTGAAATGTAATAACAGTGACTCACAAAAGTGTTCGTACACTTATGATTTTCAATGAAATAAGACTATCCATTAATTAAAATGAATATTTCAGAATAGATATTTAATAAGAAGAAATGTATTCTAATCTTAACAAAACTGTATGGAATAAATTAAAAACAAAGGAAATGTTTATTTTTAAGAAATCAATCATCAAAAAGTGACAAAAACTTTATCCCACAAAAGTCATCATGCACTTTCAAAAAAAAAAAACTCTGTCTATTAGTAAATATTCTAATTTTTTGTTAAATGAGCATTTAGTTGGTGTTTCCTTTCGAATCTGGAATAGCTTTTATAAGTTTGTAAATACATATAACTAATTTTTTTTTGTCGGGTGAAATCCGTACAGAATATTTATCAAAAAGTTTTATAGAAACTTTTACATCGTTCAGTTGCAAATTTATGAATTTTAATCTCTGATATGAAGTCCTTCTTTTAAGCATTTTATCACATATTGCCCAGTGCAATAGGACAGACGCAATAAACTAATTTAACATATTCATTACTGATTTACCTCTTATGATGACAAATAACCAAATTCGGTCTATTGTTTTATTATGACCATGAGCCGTTTTAAATAATAAAATAAAATTTTACGGAGTTAGCAAGCAAAAAGTAAAATATAATTTTGCTATCATAAGTTTGATACTAAATTGAAAATAAATAAAAAATAATTAAATAAAAAAATTCAAGCAATTGACGATAATTTTAATTCTGAAATCCAAAAACATTTAACTGTACAATGACTTTCGTGGGGAAAAATTTTTTTACTATTTGATTATTGATATCTTAAAAATTAAATTTTGCTTTGTTTTTAAAATAGTCCATACAGTTTTGTTAAAAGTAGATTATACATCTTATTATCAAATACCCATTGTGAAATATTCATTTTAATTAATGAATGTTTATTTCCTATTTCAATAAAAGTTATAAGTGAACGAACGTTTTTGGGTGCCACTGTAATTGTGAAAATTTATAATCACCTGAAACGGTTTTCTTTTGCTTAATGAAAATATATTAAACAATACTTATCCAACGTTTTATCTGTCATTCTGTTTGCCATTTTGTAGGTACACTTTGAGCAAATACAAACTTAAAGTAACACATTAAAAAAAATTTATTCCATAAAAACAATATATTCTACAAGCTAAACATATTATTTTCTCCACACGTCTTAATTTTTTAAAAATTAATGTTGTGCCAAAACATTAAAAAAACAAAAGATGATATGTTAAAAAAATGAAATTTTGAATAAAATATTTTATAATAGACACTTTCCTTATACACATCCTACACTTTATGAGAAAAGAAAAAAAAAACACTTGCCTGGAAATTTTAAGATTTTTACCTGGAAAAATCAGGGAAATTTGGAATTAGATTTGAGTAGCCACCCTGTTATTTTCCCCCAAAAATTTAAATTAAGTTCTTTGTACTGCTTATTTAAAATCATTTTTCCTTCAATTAACTATTCAGTTATCTCAGAATTCTTAAAAATTGTGCACTGAGAAGTCTCGCACAAATGAATTTTTTTCATAAGTTTTCAGTTTCGTTTGAAAGTGAAATTCTTTATATAAAAATATTAAACCACAATACAATTACATACAGAACATAAAATCATCAGAGTTGCTCTAAGTAAATATGATTCCAATTGAGAGTTCAGTAAATCAGGACTCTTTGCAACTATTAACAGAAGAATGGTTAACTTAGTGAAATTGCTAAGTATATTTATGAAAAATATGTTTCTATTTTTTCTCTTTTTTGCAAAATTGTTGTGGCATGTCTGTGTAAGTAAATAATTTATTTTTAATGCTATTATATTTTAACTTTTTGTAAATTCTTTGTTCACTTTTAGAAGTCTATCTGAGTTTCTAATGAAAATAATTTTTCTATTTTTTATTTGCAAAGCTTGATGACATCAAATTACCAATGATTGAAGGTTCTATGGAAGATATAGATCATACTACTTCAAGTCAACAAGATGATGTGGAGATGTCTGATGTTTCGGGAAGTCAAAGCACCCAAAGGGTGTACGAGAGAGAAGCAAAAATAAAAGTTGACTATTCTGATTTAAATGAAGACTTAAAAGAAGTAAGTTTATTGATGTTCTATCACCCAATTATCAGGGGTGATTGTATTCTTGGTTTTTCGTATCATTCCTCCTGATCTATTGAAAGAATTTTTAGCATGGTTTGGAAGAATCAGATGGAAGCTCATTCAAGCATGAACAATAAAATTATTAAGTCTCTTCTCGTTGCAAAATTGATTACAGGAATTTGTTTTGTTGCTAAATTGAGTAATGAAGAGTTTTTTTATTAAAAAAAAAAAGCAGAAAGTGCTCGTTATACTTTACAAAATGAAGTCTTAGTTTATTTTATTGTAATGTAATTTTTTTTAAAAGTTTTTTTTTAAAAATTTATTCATATTATGTTGCATTTTGAATATTCATGTTTTCAGGGTTGTTAATTTCATCACTTTTTGGAAATAAAAATTTATATGGTTCAAGTCAGATCTTATTGATATAAATCGTGTTAATGGTAGGGGGGAAAAATCTGTGATCATTTAAATCTTTTTCTTTTTTTTTTAATCTTTTTTTATATGATGATATTGATATTTTAATTCCAATAATTAATCATTTCTTTCTTTAGAAATGTTAGTTATGTTAGCTTTTTTACTCCTAGTTTGTTTTGGAATTAAATGTAATTTATATCTTTTGAATGAAGTTGGTTTGGCTACCTCCTGCAATTAAAAAAAATCATTCTTCATTCATAAATGAGTATTTTTACTTTTTGGAAGGAAAAAAAAATGAAGGTATAAGACAAACTACCTTCATTATTACCTGCTGGTAGGAATAAAAAGACTTTTTAAATAAGGAAAGTTATCGATATATACATATTGCAGTAGAAAATGTTCCATTTATTGAAATAATTTTTTTTTTCTGAGGAAAGTGGTTAGATTTTCAGTTTTAGTTATGAATATAAATCTATGCTGCTCATAGTAGATTTTTCACTTTATCTCAAACTTAAAAATACTAGTTAGTAATAACAATTAAATGAAATAAACATGTACGAGAATGTATTTGTCCTATATTTAATATACATTGAAAATATCTTTTGTGAGTGAATAATTTTCTACTATTAAGTAAACTAATTTAAGTTTCCACAACCCTGGTTTGGAGTTAGAATACTTGTCATTGTTAGTTTTTTTTTTTTTTTTTAAGTGAGAAAAAAAGAGTATTTTATCTAATTATGAATCATAATATATTCTACAAATTCCTCATTTTGTGTATTTTCTGATATTTACTGGATATTATGTTTTTTATAGTGTTATGTATTTAGTTCTTCATAATAAATATCCATAGCTGCCAACCTCTAGTTATGAAAATGCAGAAGATAATAAAAAAAAAAGCAGAAGAAATGCCAAAAAATGCAGAAGATTCGCAACTGCATCCTAATTACTTATAAATTTTTTTAAAACGGATTTTAATTAATCATTTATTTATAAATCCACTATAATATGAGCATAAAAAAGCAATTCTCACCTTTTCTTTAAAACAAGAAAAGGAAAAAAATTTTAGACGAGTTATTTGATGGTACAATATTCATTTATTAATTCTTGATTAAAGGGAAATTAGTAATATTTTAACACTTATATTAACATTAGTTAGATTACAATATAATAGTATGCACTATATATAAACTTAATAGAAATTATGGAAAAAGAATTACATTAAAAAAAATTTGTTCTTCTGATGTTTTGTTGCTTTTATGTGTCTGACTATATCAGTTTTACCACCATGTGTGATGCTAGAGTCATTTTTACATACGTTGCAACGTACATCATGTACTCCAAGATTCGATCTAGAAATAAATGGTAATTCAAGATCAAGATTTGCACATTAGAGCAAATAAATACTGCCATAAACCAATTGCTGTTTTCATTTTACACTAGCCATTTTCGTTTAACGTTTGCTTTCACGCTGATAAACAGATATCATGAGAGATCACATGATAACGGGAAGCTCTCTCGCAACAGAAGCTGAATTCCTTCTCTCATTAATAGAAAAGAGGAGAAATCCATTACGTCACACTGAACGATGTGACGCAAATGAAAGGAAAGGTAGGATAACCGGAAGCGGGCTTCCTAAGGCCACTACTAGAAGAGCATCGACATGACTTAAAGAAAATACTACCTGTCGGGCGGGCGGGTAAAATGCGGAAGATCTTATCTTCTGCTCGGAAAAGCGGAAAAAATTGCTTAAATAAGTAAAAATGTGGAAAGCTTCTGCTAAATGCGAAAGGGTTGGCAGCTATGAATATCTGTTTAAATATATGTTTTGTTGCTGTTTTGATATAATAATTTGTATATTATGTGTAACAATTTTATGGTTGGAAAAGTATACTTATCTGCCGACATTGAAGAAATAAAATAATGGAGTTTTTATTAGCAACATTTTTTGGGCTGCATGTACAGTTTTGATGCATAATTCAAAAGCATGTAAGTCAAAAAGAGAAATTTAAAATTGGAAACAATATAAGCACTTAAAATTAGCCAAGTAAAAAATATATATGTATATAAATCTTAATCTAGAAAAGATTTTTAAACCATTATTCATAATTACTTAAACACTAAACATCAAAATAATTTTTATAATTCTAGGTAATTAGCTTTATTTTACAGAATTTTTAAATATTTATATTTTGAACATAAGTAACTGATTTAGCTTTGCACAAAAAAAAAATTTCTTAAGTTCTGTTCATAACGATGGCCGGGGGAAATTACTTTCATCAAAAGCCAGCTTTTCATCAGAAAGTGTTGAGTAAAATTCGGAGCAAATTTTTTTTAACTTTAGAGAAAATTCTCTTATGCTCTGCATTGCTAAGCAGAATACATAGGATATCTAGCATAACACCTGCTATATTTTTAAACTGTTTTTATTTTTTATACAGTTCATTTTCTAGTTGCCCAACTGACTCCAATAAATGGTTCTGAAAAAGGAAATGCATTTATGTTTGGACGATCGGTAATAATGCAATGCAAACAAAGAAAGTTATTGCCAGACTCTCATAAATAAATAACAAAGTTTGTTATTGGAGAAAAAAAGGATTCACTGAATTAGTTACTAACACCAGTCTTATCACTACTTCCAATTTGGTTGGTGCAGCAGTGCAAGCACTGCAGCACTGGCAATGCCATCTGTTGAGGAATAAAAGAAGTATTTTTGCTATTATCGTATATTTATTGCTAAAAAATGTATTAAATTTCTTCCAAAAAAAAAAGAACTAATTCAAGAATATATGAGTAAATGAGAGATAGTCGTAAAATACGTGAGACTTGGCAGGCATAGGTATATTATCAGTGAATATAAAAATGCTATTATAAGTGGATAAGTACTACTGAGAACTTGGTGACCAATGTTGGAGGTTGTGCTGCTATTTCTGGGTTCCATTTATGTTTTTAACCATGAATTATCATTTTAGTTGGATACCAATGATGAAATCAAAAAGGAAGGTGATCGCTTAAATAAAGAAATTAATGACATGCTTTCCATCTTGAAAAGAATTCAGGCACCAAATATGAAAGCTATGGAAAAGTAAGGAATATATTCTACATTTGAAACAAATTTGAAAATGTATATATTGTACCATTTAAATTTAGCTCACTTTATTATTATACTGTATTTGATGTCAAAATGTGCTAATATTAATGATTTCTACTACTATTAATTTTATCTCAGTATTTGATGTTTCTTAAAGATAATATATAAATGTTAATGATTTCTTTAAATTGAATTTTTTTTCAAAAAAAAAAATAATAATAAATAAATAATGTAATGATTCTAATTAGGAATTAAAATCTAGATTTGGGACAAATCGTTAATTCTTATTTTTATAAAACATATTAACCATAAATTTTTACAAGAATTAATAAACTATCATTTTTAGAAACTAGAAGCCAAATATTAGGAAATTTACGATAATTTTTAGATGATTGCTTAATTTTTTGCTGTAAGTTTAAATTTAATATTTTTGAATCAAACTGATTTCTCATTTTAAAAATTCTTTTTTTTTTCTAATATCTGACTTTTAAGTATAGAAAAGATGCTATAGCCTATTCTAGTTAATGTTAATTTATACTACCTTACTATAGGTTTGACGCATAAATGAAAAGAAATTTTTTTCTACAGGCTTGATGGGGTTAAAGAAAGGTTGAAGGAAACGGATACTGAATTTGAAAATGCCAGGAAACGAGCTAAAAAGTCAAAACAAACATTTGAAAAAGTCAAACGAGAAAGATATGATAAATTCATGAAATGCTTTGATCATGTTTCTAATAAAATTGATGAAATTTATAAAGTAAGTATAAATCTAGGTTGGTCATTATCAAGATAGTATTGGCAACATATTTCCTTGAACAAATATTCCTGTATCAATCAATTTTATTTCTTCATCTTTATAGGCTCTTACCAACAACCAAAGTGCCCAGGCCTTTTTAGGTCCTGAAAATCCTGAAGAACCCTATCTTGAAGGTTTGAACTATAACTGTGTAGCTCCCGGTAAAAGATTTCAACCTATGAGTAATTTGTCTGGAGGAGAAAAAACTGTAGCTGCTCTTGCTTTGTTGTTTGCAGTCCACAGGTATTAATCATTTATGTCTATCAATTGAATATTAAGTAAAATTCTGCTTAATCTAATTCAGCAGGTTTCTCTTAATTGCTTTTCAAATTCTTATACAGATGCAGTAAGTCAATATTTTTATCCTAAATGCAGTAAATGACTCTTCATCATACATTTTTAGCTGACAATATGCTATTTATTTTTATAACTGTTGCAGCTTATATCTTTGGCCAGAATCTATTAGGCTAGTTCTAAAAATTGTCAATATGAAAAGTGAATATTTTTATTCTAAATGCAATAGATGAATGACTCTTCATTGTACAAAACAAGATTTTTAGCTAACAATATGCTATTTTTATAACTGTTACAACTTATAATATCTTTGGCCAGAATCTATTAGGCTAGTTCTAAAAATTGCACAAAATATCAATATCAAAAAATGCCAACTGTTTTGTAGTAATGGAAGACATTTGTGGTCTAATATTTTATTCTTTGTTAAGTTATTTAACGTTGCATTGTTTTGGCTCATAAAAATGTTCAAAAATTTTTAAATTATTGGAATTTTAATTATTTTTATCTAAGAGGGAAAAATCTAGTCTAATTATATACTCAAGAAATATCAACTGTTAAGTTTTTAGTTAAAAAATATCTTGTTAGCTGATCCTGTCTGCTAAAATGTAATTTCAGAGTTCCCAAATGTGAAGCATGAACTATAATGCATGATAAGGTTATTGTTATAGATTGTTAACAAGTTAAATAAAATCTTATTTATGTGACTAGTAATTTTGATAAATAATAAGATATTTGAAAGGGATATTGTTGGATTTTGTAATTTTTGAGGATTCTTTTAAGCAAAATAGTTAAAGTTTCAAATTAAAGTTCTGTTTTGAGTTAAAGGCTCTGAAATATTGCTGAAAAAGACACTATTGTTTTCTCTGATAAAATAGTAATATTTGTGTCTTATAAAACACCTGTTCAATTCAGCAGCCTTCTGTTAGTTTCTTTTGGAACTCTGGTTCTGGAAACAAGGAAATAAATTTTTTAATTAGAACTAATTCGTCATTCAAATTTTCTTTAGTCTTATTGAGTTAAATTAAGAATATTGATACTAACCTATTAGAAAAGCATAAAATATTAAATGTATCTATTTTTTGTTGATATAAGTGCATAGTCAAACATGTACCAATATATCTGCTTTGTATATAGTACCTGGAAAAATTATTTACAAGTATTTCTAAAATAATTCTCTAATTGAAAAATTCTTTTTTCTTAATTCTTGGAAATTATTTCTCTAATTAACATACAATTATTCAAGTTCATAACCTACAATTTTGTTTTTTTGTGTTGATTTGTATCACAGTTTCATAAGTAAGAAATTATGAAGAAAAAAAGAAAATTTAAAATTAACAAAAAAAAAATTTTATAAAAGTTTTGTACTTTATTCAAATTTTTACTACTTGTTTAATATACATATATATATGTCCAGTGAAACCTCCTGTTATGGACAGTCCTACAAAATGGACGCCTCTCAATACGGACATATTTTTAATTCGCCGTGAATCTTCTATGAATAAACCATTCTGTACATTTCCGCAAAGCGGACACTCACGTAACCGGACACGGACAGTCATTTTTGCCCGGAAACGTTGTTTTCTGTATCGTCAAACCAGACACTACTTTTTCTAAATTTTAGAGATAAAAAAAATAAATAAATAAATAAAAATTCTGCTTAAAATTGCAAGAAAAAAATATGCATTCTCCATTTTTAAAGCCTGTAAATTATTTGCCTTATCCATAACTAATAAGGTTGTTCAGCTATTTCACTACTGAAAAATCAATCTTGCTCCTGTCACATTACCATATCTTTCTCAAAGCAAGGAGAGAAAATGATACTGCTCTTGTGAAATAATTCCCACAGCAGTATCTTGATCTTTTCATGAGGACAATACAAGTTATAAAACCCCTCAAGCTGAAATGAAGTCTTAAATGCTCTCAATTCTTCTTCCCACTGAAAATTTCTTTCATTTTCTTATCAGTTTGAAGATTGTATTTAACACAGCTGGGGTAAAAAAAGAGAACAGAAATATAGTCTTTGAGTCCATATAAATGAAACAATTATTCAGACACTTGATAGATGATCAATTGTGAATAATTATCTCCATGGTCCTCATTTCCCCCCAGGTATACATTGCTTTTTTTTCTATGAATCATGGGAGGTTTACTTTCAAGGAAGTATTAACCACCTTTCCTATCAAGTGATAGGTAGGTGTTAGAAGGTGTAAACCTAATAATTGAAACCGACTGAGGACTAAAATCTCATTCGGTATCATATGAGGAACTTGAATATCTGTGTTCAAAGGAAAATTATATTCATTTTTCTGTAGCTACATCTAAAATTATGTATTTATATCAAGCTTTTTCATATATTCTTTTTGTATAGAAAAAAATATTTTTTTTAAGTTTGAATAAATATCCTTGTCGATAGTTATTGTAGATTAGTTAATTATTTCTATATCTCTGAAAATATTCTAAAAACAATTTACGGTGTTAAGCTTCGTTATTAGGATATCCTTCCCGCAAACTGTCAACTCTCGTGAACGTACAATTTTTTTGATCCCAGGAATGTCTGCTTAAATGAGATTTCAAATGAGATTTCACTGTATATTTATAAATATATATAAAAATGTGTGAGGTTTAAATTTGTCTAAAGTATTGAAGTTCTTTGATTGTAATTTTTATAAATTATGTCTGAAAACTTTAAAAATAAATAAATAAATAGAAAGAAAAAAAGCAACTTCAAACATATTACAAAATTTTCAATTTCAAAGTTAAAACTAAATTTCTTTTCAGCTATCAACCTGCTCCTTTCTTTGTTTTGGATGAGATAGATGCTGCTTTAGATAACACCAATATTGGAAAGGTAATTGCAATTCTACCCAATTTAAGTAGTTTCTTGTAATTAAAGTACTTTGTAATGTATATTTATTGCTAGGAACTGACAAAATTTGTAACATTTTAAGAGCCAGCTTCTAGAACTGTGATTTTATCATATTTACTGCAAAATGAAAAACTGGCTTCTCAGAGACATACTTGTCTTTTATTTTTCTTATTTTTTTTTAGTGATATCTGTCTCTTTTCACGATAAAGGAATTATGTATTGAATTAAAAAATCAAATTCAGCAAAAATTTCAAGGAAGTAAATCATTTAAATTCTTATATTTTAAATAAACAAACTACAAACACTAAAACAGTAAATATATTAGCAATATTAAAGCAGTAGGTTATAGCAATAAATATTATTGAGCAGTAGGGCAGTTTTTGTTTCCTTTAATACAAATATAAAATAGGATCCATTTAATTACCTTTGAGTTTTAGTGCTAAAATATTATCTATCAATTTCTACAATTTTTCGCCGAAGAAGTAGAGTAGTTGATTTTGAAATTTTTCCTTGCTTGTTTTTTGCTTTGAAAACCTTCTTGCTTGTTCGTTTGTTTTTTAAATCTCTTGCTTATAATATTGCAAACATAAGTAGCAGAATAATATGTTGAAAAAGTTAGTCGGCAAGGGAATTTTTCTAGTCATCTAGGAAACCTGGTACCCCGAATTTGTCAATTCCTAATTGTCATATATTTTTTCTAAGGAGAATATTTATTCTGTTATGTGTATAATGCTTCTATTATCGTCTATTATTCCAATACTCAAAAGCTCATAATTTATAGATTTTTCAGAGTTCTTGAAACTTGCAAAGTTCTCCTGTGCTTAAAATAATTGTAAATTAATAATGAAAATTTAAATAACAAATTTGAAGTACTAATGTATTTTTATAAAATGTTAAATATTAAATGATTCTGAAAAAGGAAAGCATTCCTGCGAATGTCTGATTGCAGCAATATATTAAGTGATTGATTTTGACATTTTTTCCCTTGCTTGTTTTATTATGCTTTGGAAACCTCACTGCTTGCTCGTTTGTTTTTGAAACCTCTTGCTTATAATAATGCAAACATAAGTCGCAGAATAATATGTTGAAAAAGTTAGTCGACAAGGGAATTTTTCTAGTCCTCTAGGAAACCTGGCACTCAGAATTTGTCAATTCCTAATAGTCACATAATTTTTCTAAGGAGAATATTTATTCTGTTATGTGCATAATGCTTCTAATCCTGAAAAAGAAATGCATTCCTGCAAATGTCTGATTGCGGCAATATATTAAGTATTACTCAAAAGGTGCCAGGTAAGCTGATACCCTTCGATTGGAAACTGGGTTAACTTCAACCTGCCTCTTAGGATCAAAACCAGTCCTTCAAATTGACAGCTCAGTGTCTTAACCTCTGAGCCATCACAGCTTGTATCCCTAATTTATTGAAATTTAATTTTAAAAATGTGTGATTGTTTAGATGTTGGTAACTAATACTTATTTTTATCAACTAATTTTATTTATATTCTTATTTTTTATTAACATTTCTATTATTATTTACGTTCTCATATGACTTAAACTTTCACGCAAATTTTAACACTTAATTTCGTTCCTATTGTATAATTCTTTTTTTTAAGTGGTTAAATTTAGAAACTGTCTGATTTTAATCTTAATGCATTTTTGTAAATCTCAAAACTATTTGTGTAGGTGGCTCGATTCATCAGAGAACAGACGGAGACTTCATTCCAGTGTATCGTTATTTCTCTTAAGGAAGAGTTTTATGGTCACGCAGATGCATTAGTGGGAATCGTTCCTGATGTAAGTATTGAAATATTTGTCAAATGAGAATTAGTTGTAGACAAAAAATTATGTAGACTGCTAAAGTTTTCTTAATTATTTAAACATCACCAACCATAGCCAAGCACCTAACCCATTTCAGGGATGTATTTTTAATAGCGATGGTAGGATTGCCATGTAATTTTTGCAACCAGTCAGATCACCTGAACTGGGCTTGAGCTGGTACTCCTCTCTCCACATTTTCACACCACAACCAACAGGAAGATTTTCATCCATGGCAGATTTTGTGTGCACCATCCTTGATTCGAATACATGCCTGTTGCTTATTTGGAACTCCATTTTTTAGACTAATTTTTTTTTTTTTGATATAACAATTGTACAGATTTCAGGGTAAAAAATTTCATTACAGGTCAGTTTTGAAATTTAATTTAAAAAATGCAAATTAAACTTTACTAGGGATCATTATATATGCAATATTTTTTTTCATTGATCTGGTTTTCATAACGCCATTACAAATGGCATTTCTGAACCAAAGAAATTACCCTGACTAAAATTAGAATCAATTTCGAAAAATATTGCACCTTCCATAACATTTTGAAGTCAATGACTGTAACCCCTAAGAACGACCTACCTCTATTAACGACCATTTTGCTGGGAACTGAGAGTGATCGCTTTTGAGAGGTTTCACTGTATATGTATGTATATTAAAATATTTTTAAAAATGTATGTGTACATTAAAAAAATTTATTAACTCATTTTCGTCCAACTCTACGTTAGCGCACCACTTCAATGAATATATTTTTATTTACACTGTGATGTATATTTTTCACTAATTTTATTCTACTGCTATTTTCAGCATATCTGAAGATTTATAATTCAATTAGAATAAACATTTTCTATTGAGAAACTTTCAAACTATGCTAGTTTTTTTTTTACTGTTACTGACATTTTACTTTTTGAAAATGTATAATTACTCCATTTGATATTTATCATATGTTTCTATGATGAATTCAAGATGCAAATTCTTTGCAGAACTAACAAAATAAGTAAAACAAGTATCGTAAAAAAAATACTTGTGTTCAACTAAAGGGCTCATTGATTTGGCCAATGATTAAGCATCATCTTGTTTCTGAAATATAATATCAGACGTGCCAACCCTCCGGCTTTGGCTTGTTTTTTACAAGTTATTTTCTCTCCCAGGGTTTTCTCAAAAATCTTTGGTTTTTTAACTTATTCTAATGTAGAACGAAGTTTTCATCAATTTCCGTCTCAATAGCGTCAGAGCTGGGTGTAGCCTGAGTAGTGACCTTTATCGTCTTGGACAACCAAAGGCGCTGTTTCCTTTCCTTTCGGTGTCTGATATTTGTTGAATGACCACTGAGTTGGGCTTCTCTTCATGAATACTGCTTTGTGATTATCTTCTTTTGGAAGCAAGAACCTTCGCTGTATGTGTTAAAAAATTATTTTCGGATCATTTTCGTTGTAATGTAAAGTGAAGTGAAGTCAATATGAGCAACTGTAAATTTGAGTTTGTTTTGATGCGTGAGCGTTTGTTTTTCTGTCTTGATAGTTCGTTTTAAAAAAATGTAATAAGAAATACTTAACTTCTTTCAACCAAGCGTATTCAGACGAACTTTTTGGAATTATTGTTTCTAAACGAGGATTGAATTATGTTTTCCGCTCGTTATAATTCCTTAAAAATTTCGATCATTAATCTAAAATATTTTTCATTAAAAATGAAATTTCTAATTTTCCATTTAAAGAAAGGTATTGATTTAGTTACCTAAACTTATATTTATTGTATTTTTAAAAAGCAACAGACAGTTAAGCATATTTATTTATTTAATTTTAAATAAAAGATCTAGCTTAAATCAATTTAAGCATTAGCTATATAAATTTACATACTGTTGTTGTTATTCTATATTATGCATATTATTATTGACAGTTGTTTAATTTTGATACATAATTTTAAAAATGTCTAACTGTTTAAACTACTCTTTATGTACTAAATAAAGTGTCCCTTAAGACTAAAGTGTTGCTATTTAAATTTTTTTTTTAATTTTTGTGTCTTATTTAACATGTTTTAACTGTTGCATGATCATTTCTCTCTCCTTTCGAAAGAAAGCCTCCTCTTTTTTCATTTTCCCAGGTTGGTACGTCTGTAATATTATTTTTCATACACAAATTTTTATTTTGTACCTTAATGAACGTAAAGCATTGAATATAATACCACATTTTATAAAATTTCTATGCTTGACCTAAAATGGATTGAAATGAAATATATTGATAATAAAAGTATGAAACATTTATTTATTTGGAATATCATTAAAATTAATGTTGAGTATTGTAGTTTTCTTCTCCTTATTACTATTATACATCTTTCTTTTGTAAACTATGGTAAAATAAGTATTTTGTGCAATCACAAATTTGCACCATGCAAACTTCATCTTTTCCTCTCATATTTGCCTTTGATTAGTATACTATGGCAATCTTATTTAAATGAATATTGGAGGGCAAATTTTGTCCTAAAAATTATCTAAAATCTTATAAAATGCTTTGTTGATGATTTCTTTTTCTTAACTTATATTTTCATAATGTTCTTTATTTTTTTATTAGCCCGGTGAGTGTACCATCAGCCGTGTTCTGACATGTGAATTATCAAGATATCCAGAGTAATATCTATAATATCTGAACTTGTGTATAAAAACTCATCACCATCTTATGTGTGTTCCAAATATGTCAGTTTTATATTTCTGCTGTTGATGTAGATACTAAGGAAAAACATGTATATTATTACATTTTAAAGGAAGGTTGAAATCTTGTAAATTGTCATACATTGTTCTGTTAACTATGGAATTTCACTCTGTAAAAACTGCAATTTTTTTATGTGCTCAACAATTTTAACTAACATTATATTATATTTTTCATTTATTTATTTCTTGTTGTAACATTTTATGATTTATATTGTTATTGAAACAATTTCTTCTTGTCTGTGTCTGATTTTTTTTAGCTTTTAAAGACTTAGAACTTAAATTTGTATTTCTCTTGTACTTTTAATTTGCTAAACATTAAGCATTCTTATGAAAAATATTTTCATATTATATTACTAAGTTTTTAATGACTTATACATATATAATGTATAAAAAATGTGTTGCTAAAACATTGTAAGCACTTGTGGTAATTCATTAAATTGTAATGTGGGAGATTTTAAAAGTGATTTTTAATAAAATGATGGAAATAAATAAAATAAATATGTCATGCTTTTAAGATACATCATGTCCAGATGTTTGAAGAAAAAAGTTGTATAAAGTTTTGTACGGAAAACTATTTTAAAAATAAAATGCAATACAATATTTGTGTTTTTAATTATTATAACTTATAATTCTTTACTTTTAAATTCGAATGTTTTACGAGAATCAAAATTAAAAAACAGAAATCTTGCTTTGAAATTATTTAACGATTTTGGCGATACATGCGGACTATGTCCATTCTATTGCTAAAGCCACAAAATTATAAATCTTTCTTATCTCAGAGGTGAGTTTTTTTTCACTTTTCTTTTTCCCTTCTGCCTTTTAAATAAAAGTTGCATCTTTTGAAAGAAATTTTCGCTTTTTCGAATTCCCTAAAAATGTACTAATTTTTTGCACTTTTCTTAACTGTGTGATCTCAGTTTAAAATCACATGTCATGATTAGTATTCATGAGATTTAAAGCTGGGGGATTGTGTTCTGTACCCTGATCAGCGGTTGTAAAATATTCTTGCAGATCTAAAAACTAGAAGCAGGACTTTTTCCTCTAAAATCGCGAGTAGCACATAGTATCTCAAGACTATTGGTTTGTGGCCTGAAACGAATCAAAAATTTACAATCCGAAGAAATTTCGTAACTTTCGCTATATCCCGTTAACGAGCACCTGATACATGCACCTGATTCTTCTGCCAATTTTATTCTTTTGGTTTAGCTGGTTTTCGCCATTTTGAATATTTGAAACTGCCCCAGAATCTGCTAATATCACGATTCTTATTTAGGCGATTTCAATATTAAACAACCATTTTAGTATTTACCTCATGAAAAGGTACGAGTTGCGATTCGTATTCACTCAATTTAGAAATCGTATTTCGCGATTCCTATTTATGCATTTTTCAATCCAAATATCGTGATTCGTATTTCACGCTGTTTTAAAATCCAATATTGCAATTTGTATTCACGCAGTTGTAATATGAAACATCGATTTTCGTATTTATACGAGATTAAAAACATACGCATTGCTGTTCGTATTTACGCCATCAAAAAATTATGCATCATGATTTGTATTTACACGATTTAAAAATTATTCAATCTCGCAATTTGTATTTTTGAAGTCCAATACCACTATTCATATTCCCGCAATTTTAAAATCTAATATCGCTATTCTTGTAAGAAGTAAGTTTTTTCTTGAATTAGTTACTATAAAGGTCTGATATTCTTCATTGGTAGGTGATTTAATTATGTTACTTCAAAAAATAATGTTAAATATGAAGCATGTATGGTATGTAAATGTTGATATTTATTTTTTGAACTTAACATCTTCACTTTGTATCACAATTACCCCTGTTCAATTTAAACGTGATCTGTATTCAGGCAATAAAAAATTGCAATTCATAATCAAGTGATTTAAAAACCTAGCATCATTATTCATATTCACTCGATTTAAAACATTTACATCGAGATTCGTATTCACGCGATTTAAAATTACCATTCGCAATTTCAGATTGCACTTCTCGATCTGTGTTCACACAATCTTAAAAAAATATCACACGTCGATAGGTTGATATTATTCTACATGCCGTGCGCAGGACAAATAACGAAGCACTCTGAAAAACTTTTGAACTAATGCGCGCTTTGCCGCTCTATCTCGCGGACTTCGAATGATCGGTAACCTCAAGTATGCTAATTAGTTAGAGCAGGCGATGTTTCAAGTTACAAATTCAAAACGCAAAAGCATGCTTTCTTTACATAAACGTACTTTTCTTTTTTAGTTGACAGATTTGGATTTCCCACCCTCAAATTATAGGGGATCAATAATTTTTAGTCCGACGGAATTTAATCGGAGTTCCACTAAATCTAAAAGTTATCAGAGTTAAATCTATAGTTTAAATTTCGTTACTTACTCAAATTGTTAACGAGAAGATATATATCTGGCTTTACCAGCACTCTTTTTTTTTTTTTTTTTTCNTCTTTTTTTTTTTTTTTTTTTCCTGTGTTGTCCTTCACGGGCGATAACTGTCTTTGCCCAGATTTGTTAGAGAAAAACGTTATCTTCGGAAAAATTTCGAGTACGCGAGACGGGGGGAAAAACATCCATAATAATTTCGAGGGGCCGGGATAGCCTGGTCGGTAGGGCGCTGGGCCCATATCCAAGAGGTCGTGGGTTCGATCCTCGCCGGCCGAAGACTGGTGTAATCTGACTAGTAAATGGTGACTGATGCACGTTAAATCTGTCGAGTCTGAAAGTCCTCCATGTTCCCACAACAAATCAATACCTCTGGGGGTACTGATCCAGGAGTTTCCTTGTCTTCTGGATTGGTTCAAAATTACAAGGCTCCGGAGTTGAACGTTAGTAGTCGTAAACTCATGAAATTGGGTCGGCTGTTCAACGACGGTTATAAAATAAAATAAAATAATAATTTCGGCTATACCTCGGGGGATAGAACTTTCGCCTTCCAATGAGCTGAACCGGGTTCGAATCCCATCGATGGCTAGTCGACGATACGAATCCGCATCCGGCTTGCGCCCACCACTGTGCTGACGTTAAATATCCTCAGTGGTAAACGGATAATGGGTTAGAGTCCCTTTGCCGTCAGGCTAACTGTGGGAGGTTCTCGTGGTCCTCCACTCCATGTAACGCAAATGCGGGTTAGTTCCATCAAAAACTCTTCCACGAAGGCACTTTTCTACTCCAATACTTGATCCAAGAGTTTCCTTTTCTTCTAGATTGGGTTCAAAATTACAGGGCTACGGAGTTGAACATTAGTAGTCGTTAACCCAAAAATTGGGGCGGCTGTTCAACGACGGTTATAAAAAAGTAATTTCGGCTAGATTTAATGAACTACTGAGCCAAGCACAAAAGTAAAAAAATTAAGAATCTCAAAAATAGTTTCGAAATGGCAATTAGCTAAAAGTTCATTGCTAGAAAAAATAGTGCTTTTACCCTTCTTTTTTTTTAACTGATATTTTAATGAGTAGCAATTTCGTTGCAAATTCCGATTCGTAACGAAAGAATTATTTAATCAATGTGATATATTTTCCACCTTTCTCATTTGCTACAATTGGAAAAAATTAATTTTTAAGATGATATTACGACACAGAAATTTCAAATCGCGCTTTAGCGCACACAATACCATCGTAAATCCGTGTTTCGATCTTTTTTATTTTGTATAACGCATTTGAGTTATCATTTTTGGATGCGCACGATTTGTCTCGTTCGTTTTATCGGCTACGAATTTTTCACGTTTTGCTACGAATATAATAAAATAAAAATTTCACGCAAATTCAATGCGTGCATTTATTAGTCACTTTTTGAAGCGGCGATATTTTTCTTGATCGACGTATTCATAATTATTTGGTTAGGTATCCATATCCAGGTGTTTTTTTTTAAAAACCCCGTTATTTTTGCAAGCGAGAAACTCGAATCCTCTGAGTAATTTTTGACGCTCTGGATTTGCGCTAAATCCATGCTTCGTTTCCATCAGAGATTTTTGACATTTATTGTCGTCGATTTTCACATGATTTTTTTAAAATCCCGTTATTTTTGTAACTTATTCAGAAGCGAGAAACTCGAATCCTCTTAGTAATTTTCGACGCTCTGGATTTGCGCTAAATCCATGCTTCGTTTCCATCAGAGATTTTTGACATTTATTGTCGTCGATTTTTACATGATTTTTTTTAAATCCCTATATTAGATACTGGATATCCAAATCACGCGCCTGAGTATTCGATATCTGACGCGATAACTCTATCGTTTTTCCTATATATTTTTCGGCAGTTATTACAAATTTGCGCACTTTTTTTTTGTTGAAATCTCGATATTTTTAATACGATATTATTTATTACAACACATGAATCTCGAAATGTACATTCAATTAACCCCTTTTTGACCAGTCCGATTCGTGTGTTTTCGTCGAATATAGACATGCTTTTATCAACAAACTTTTTTTTTAGTTATTGCTGCAGTTTTTTCAAAAATCTTATTTTTTCCCTGATGCAACGATGACTCGTAAGAAGTGAGGAATACATAATTTTTTTTTCAAATAAATTCTTTATGTGTTGATGAAAAAGTAATTTATTGGATTAAAAAAAAATTCTCTCTTTTAATTTTATATTAAATGTTATTTTTGTGCTTAATAATGACATCCTCTCATTTATCTTTTATATGCAAAAAGAAAAATTAAGTAATAAAAAAATACACGAAAAAAAGGATCAGATAATTTCTCCTTTCAATCTGAGGGGGTAGACTCATTCTGAGAAGTAGGATCCCAATAGTTTGACTAAAGTTTAAGCCCCTTAATGTTAACTTTACTTTTTGCATATTTTGTAATATCTTCGGAAATTTCAAAGCGAGTCGAATTTACCCATAGATATTACCATGCAAAAAATTTTATTTATTTTATTTTATTTTACTTTAATCGAAAAAAGCTTGAAAAGTAAAGTATACAAAGTTTTACATCATTTTAAAGAATTGGTATTTTTAAATTTTTTTTTTCTAATAATAAGTCCAGTCGGACCTCTATTTAACGAAGTCACTAAATCCCGAAAAAAGGTTCGTTAAATAGAAAATCACCATTTGAAATACTTACACAACACAAAACAGGTATTAAATTCATAAACACTAGAAATAATTAAAATTGCAATTGATACACTTTTATCTTGTAAATTATTATCTATTATTTATTTTATAAATCTTAACCATAAAAGAAATCTGCAAAGAAAGTAAGAATAGAACAAAACATTATCCATTGTTAAACTATCATGCTACATATATTTTCCACTGAATAAAAAAGCTAAATTTTTATATATTAAAATTATTGCTGTATTTATTATAAAAGTAATTTTAAACATACATTATCACATGCGTTCTTAATTTTAATTGCTATTGATAAAGTACGTTAATTTTGTCTGAGTTTTTCGTTTGAAAAAGTTCCACGTACTTATAAACGTTCCCCCATAAAATGCGTTAAAAAGTGTATATTTTATTCAAATATTTTGGGAAATAGGGAAAGTTGATCTCAAAAAAAAATTCGTTAAGGAAAAAGTTTACAAAGTTTTGTTACGATAAGTTATTTTACGAAGAAATTTCCATAATGTTCTTGGTTCCAC